GATTGCGCCTTGCGCTTATAAAACTCAACACTATTGCTCGTAGCCTGCACTGCATTGCCCACAGCTGTTGACGTCGAAGCTGTTGGCGCAAGCGTCGCTGCATCAGCTACGTCAGCAGCAGCTGATGCGACAGCTTGGAAGGCGCGCATTTGACCGTCGCTCTCAGACATTGTGAACGCGAGAGAGAACCGAAAACCGAAAATAGCAGAGATAAATGACGCGCGCGAATAACTGTTTTATCTGCTGATGTTCGTTGCCCTCAAAAACGTCGCTTCACACGGCTGCTTATTGGCGGTACAGTAGGCACTATCAACTTATATTTTTGCACTTATGTACATGAATATTTTTTGTGTACAATGAGCTCAATTATGTACGCTTTTGTTTTTTAACGCGATTAAGCAAGGTTTTGTGGAATTATTGATCACGTCGGGGTCACCAAAATGTATAATCATAAGCTTTTTTATGATTCCAAATATGCGAAATTATGTTGGCGAAATATTTGCAAAATAAGCGAAACGAAATTGTTCAATTTAAAAGAGGTGCACAAATGTTTATTTTGCATAGGTAGCGATCGCCGAGATTTACAAAGTTTATGCTGGTAGACGGAAAGCTAAGCTTCTCCGTACCAGATGCGATAACGAAAAACGAACTTGACTTGCAGAGTTAGCGACAATAACTAGTACATATGTGGCGGCTGCGCAGCAGCCTATGCAAATTTATGGCAAGCAACAAAAGGAAACGTTAAGTGCTCGGCTTGCTATGCAAAGCAAGTGACAAGAAAACGAGCACTTTGCATTGAGTTATTTACGTTACTTATTAACTATGATGTGCTGCTGGTTTTGGCTGTTTTTGGCCGGATGACCAAACAGACCTCCTTCTCCATGCCATTCACAACGAATAGGAAATCGTCGGTGCTGGCCTTCCAGCGAATGCCCAGTGTTTTCGTCAAGCTGGGTTCTTCCAGGTCCAAAAAGTCGGCCCGCAACAGGTGCTCTGCCGGGAGACTCCGCAAGAGCCCCTTCTCGTTCGCCGTCCATTTCCGTAGCGTAAAACCGGCAGCTTCGAAGGCCTTTTGGAGTTCCCCAATCGACGCCAGCGTGTCCTGCCTTGAATGCGCTCCAGCCAGGACATCGTCCACGTACATGAACTCCTTCACGATTTGGCTGGCTAATGGATACTGCGCTTGTGAGTCTTCTGCGAGCTGCTGAAGGACTCGGATGGCCAGGAAAGGCGCACAGTTTACCCCAAAGGTGACTGTGCCTAATTCGTAATCGCACAAAACCCCGTCTGGATTGCGAAACAGGATTCTCTGAAACGGAGTGTGTTCAGGATCGACTCGTATTTGCCGATACATTTTGGTGATGTCGCTACTGAACACATAACGAAAGAACCGCCACTTCAGTACCTGCAGGATCAGGTCAGACTGAAGGACCGGTCCAGGATGTAGGACATCGTTTAAACTTTTCCCATTAGATGAGGGACTGGAAGCATTAAACACCACGCGGAGCTTGGTCGTGCTGCTGTCTGGCTTGATGACTGCGTGGTGAGGGAGATAATAATTGCAGCGGCTCGTGGGCGGAGGGACTTGGTGCATGTGGCCCAAATCCAGATACTCATTAATGACCGCGTCATATTGCGCCTTCAATGGCGCATTCCGCTGTAAACGCGCCTCGTTCCTCAAGAGCTGCGCCAACGCGATCGACCTCGAATGGCCCAATTCCATGTTTTGCGGATCCTTGAAAGGAAGCGAAACTACGTATCTTCCATCCGCCTGTCTCCTGGTCGTGCTCTGGAACAGCTGTTCGCACACCAGATCTTCTGCCTTGGACCGGCTGGCTGGGACATCCTCCACCTCCCAAAACTTGGTGAGCAATTGCTCAATCGCTGGCTCATTGTCCACAGTCACACGGGTCGTAAACGATGAGATGGAAGTTTGTTCAGCGGCTGCCACCGGACCAGTCAGGATCCAGCCGAACACGGTCTCCTGAGCGCGTAGGGAGCCACATATATTGGACTTGGATCCAGCCAAAAATATAGCCGGCAATATATCAGCCCCGATGAGCATGTCTACCGGCGAACTGATGTAGAACGTGGGGTCCGCCAATGGCAAATCTGGCAGATTTCTCAGTGCCTCTTGAGGGAACGAGCACGATGGGATATCCCCAGCCAAGTGTGGTAAGACAAAAGCCGATGTCTCTATCTCGACCATCGGCTGAGTGGGCGAGACCAACTTGAAGGCGCATACTTTGGTGGTATGGCCTGAGACCGTTCTATTGAGCCCGGAAACCTGGGCACGAATTCTTTTGAAAGGCAGCTGGAGCCTGCTGCGTAAGCGCTCTGAAATAAATGTTCCCTCGGAACCTGAATCAATCACGCGCTGTGTAAATTGTGCCCACGTGACGAATGTTGACCATGGCTGTGCTTAAAAGCACGCCTCGGGTGTGCGAAGAAAAGTATGTCTGTACATTAGGAGGAGTGGACTGTATATCGTGGAGTGACGACTGAGGAGCTGATGTGGGAGGCACGAGTGGAGTCGGGGCACCGCGGTGCAATAACGTGTGATGGCGTCCCTTACACGTGGAGCACGAATACTGACTCGTGCAGTCTTTCAGCTGGTGCCCTCTGGCGAAGCAGTTCAGGCACAGCTTTTGCTTCTTAATCACACCGGAACGCTCCTTGACCGTCATTGCGAGGAAACGCGGGCACAGACGAATTGGGTGGTTTTCTCTGGAACAGAGGTTGCAGGTATGCGTCTTTACTCTGACCTTTGCCTCAAACGAGTTGACTCTCCTCGCAGCCGGCTCCTTTTGAGCTGACTTTGGCACGCGGACGCTGGTGCTCGATCGCACATCACTTATCGCTTCGAGAGTTCGATAGCGATCTGAAAGGAATTGGTTCATATCGGACCAGGGAGGAATCTCAGTCTTGTCTTTAACAGACTGTTCCCATAAAGAAAGGGTCTGCTGTGGGAGTCTGGTGGCGCAGAAAAAGACTAAGCCGCAATCCCAATTTTCGGTACTTATCTTCGCGTTTTCCACAGCTGTTAAGCAACCTTGAATGGTGCTCTGAAGTTCCTTAATGGAGGCGCCACACTCTGACGAAATTGGTTGTATGTTGGCAAGGACCTTTAATTGACTATTGACGAGGAGCCGTTTGTTTTCAAAACGGTCAGTCAGGTCCTTCCACGCACTAGCGAAACCGCTATTAGTGAGTGGCGACCTCGAAACGATAGCCTTCGCTTCTCCACTAGTTTTGGCGTTAAGGTGGAACATTTTCTCGACCTCGGACAGACGCGAATTGCGAATGTACACGGCCGTAAAGAGATCCCGGAACGTAGGCCATTTCAAATAATCGCCAGAGAACACCTCGGTATCCACCGGTGGCACATTGAAGCCCCGAGCTTCGACAGCAGGCGCCGAGGGATTGTGTGACGCGGATGCCTGTTCAATCTGCCCGGATACCAGACAGACACACCGCTCGTAGACGCGATAGCAATTTTCGTATCTAGAATGCATCGCCTGCTTGTCAGGAACACCGGCCTCTAACTGGGTTAGAGCCCTGGAACACGACCGCTGTTCTTGCTCAACCCTTTCCCAAAGGACCTTGACTTGGTCTAGACGAGTCTTGAGCATGACAAGCGGATCTGAGGCGGATGAGGAGGCCAAAAGCGCCTCGAATTGGCACAGGCTATCGCTAACGGAAATAAAGTTATCTAATGCCATTTGGATTTTCTGAGCCGCGATATGAACAGCTGAACGTGTAGCTGGACTAGTTCTCGTTACAACGGGAACTTCCAATGAGTCCTTCTCATTGTCGCTCGGCATTTTGAGCTTCCACACAGACCTGACAAGCAATAAGTAGAAGTGGGCGCGCTATAGGCGTTTCGGATGGACACGGACGGATGCGCGCCGAAAGCAACAAGTGGCGTTTAGGACTGCGCCTTGCTTGTTGGCAATATAAAACAGGACACGACCAAAGAAAAGAGGAGGAGGCGGCAGAATCTATATATGTAGTTCGGCTTCGCTGTGTGTCCCAATGTGGCTTACGAACCGGCTGGCTCGTAACAAAAAGCACCTGGAAGTATGGTTTGGCTCTTAGTAAATTCCAATAATAAAGCTGGATACGCTGAACACTTGCGAGGTAACAGCAATAATAATAATGGCAGCAACGGCGACAATTAGACGGCGGCAGTTCAACGGCGACAATAAATCCTTATTAAATTGTCAATAACTCCTCAGGATGCGCTGAAATATGCAATGTGACTCCAAAGGAAACAAATGCCACCGATATTTAATTTATTTTTAATTTTATTAAATCTTTGTTGTGACAAAATCACTGCTGCCAGTAGCAATCGGTTTTCCCTTTATTATCGAAATTAATGTAAATTATTTGTAATTCGTGACCGTAACTAATATTCGGTCACACTCCAAATTTTCGATATTTCGATAACCGGTTCCCAACAAGTGCGCATCACTTGTTGACGAATTGTGCAAATAAGAATTTTATGCTAAAAAAAATAGAATATTCGCCGGTGAGCGCACACTGGCGCTGGCGCTGGCGCTGGATATGGCACGACTGGAGCGGAGTGCTAACCGGAATACGGGTAAGTTGGTGGGAGTCGCGGACCGACCGTGTCGTGTTACAGGAAATGTGTTAGTAAATATGTGTAATTGTAAATATGAACATATGATTGTGAATGTATGTTTAATATGGATTTAATATGTATATTTGTATGTAAGCATGTGGGGAACTATGGTTATTGGGTAGATTCGGAATATATATGTACCAGTATATGGATGATGCGTAGTGTGCAAGTGTATAAATATTTAAGCAGATGTACAAAAACGTATATTTATTGTGCGCGGAAACATGCAAGCGCTTAGAAAATATGTTTGTGGTTTGTGGGACATGCAAGCATTAACAAATATGTATGTTTGTGGAATCTGCAAGCATTAGGAAATATGTATGTTTGTGGACTATGCAAGCATCAAAACATATGTTTGTTGTAAGTGACGGTGATTATGCAGTGATAGTGCGTTAGGACGGCAAGTCCAGTTGTGTTTTTCACTGGACACTTGTTGCACATATGAATGAACACGTCCCAAGTATGCCGGTATGCAATCGCGAACGGACAGATTGGTTCTATACTGCTAATTCGTGCACTTTATGTATTTTTGGTTGAGCTGACCGGCGCGGTATCAGCCGTATACGAATGGGGCCCTTGGATCAGGGACGGAAAGCGGGATGCGGATTCCGTTTTTGGAAGTCGGCGGACAGACCGACAGAAAAAACCAATATGGCGTAAGTACTGAGCCAAAAGTAACTTTTTACTTAGCTGTTTTCCCTTATAGGAGTCCAACGCCAGGAACAAGCTGGGGCGAACGGATGGCTGGCACAAAACGAGGATGAGTATGGATGGAGGTGCGTCAGCAGGATCCGGCTCGAAGGACCATGTAAAAGTCGGGGGGCGTCGGGGATAAAATATCCAAACTCCAGTACAAGAACAAAATGGCGGGATTTTCAGGTGTCAAAGTGCTCTTCTGCACGTATGTATTCACTTCGTATAAAGACAATTTGTAACTAACTTAACCTAGTTACAGCGCTCTGGTCCTTAACTAGCGTGTGGGAGAGAGAGGGCGCTGACGTCAGCCGCGCTGTGCTAGCAGATGTTGCTAGCGAATGTTGCTAGCAAATGTTGCCAGCTTGCCATGCAGGCTACTAGCAGTGCTGCCACGTCAACACAGGGAGTTTAACAGAATAAAATTAGATTTTGCAATAGAATATTTGGAGAAGTCATCAGATAAGCCAGACTCTATGAACTTTTTAAAACATCTCGATTTAATGTTTTTTAAGTTAGAAAGTCTACGCGTAAACCATGGAGGTTTAAGAGTAGAAGATGATGCGACGCTATTGGGAACACAGACATTGAAGATGGAATACATGGTGTCTTAAAAAAATTTTGAAGCAACATCTATATCAGTGGAGCTATATAAGAAAGACCAGTTAATATTTAAAATCAAACTGTTAAGCATAACAAAATCACAATTACGAAAGCATTTGCGAGGCATGTTGCACTCAGAAGACCCTACACTATATCAAGAAAAGGGAACACTAATTTCTAGAGTTGGATGATAGATACCTTCAGGCAGTGTTAAAGGAGAACAACAGCATTATTAACATCATTAACAAACACCAGATTAACAAACACAAAAGAGAGTTCAAGAAGGCAATCTAAAAAATCATTCGGTGACGAAGGAATAAGGTGAGGGGAATCATTAAAGATTACCTTGTCCGCACTTAAAGCGCTCATTTTAAGCGGGCATGTTTAATAGCTCTCTATTGAAATTCTAATGCAAATTCGAAGCAATGCCGACATTGTAGTCAGCTGTGTGCTTTAAATTGGTCATTGACCTTAGTGCATTAATACATTTTACTGCACAAAACATATGCAATTTTCGTTTGCGCATATTTTTTTTTTCCTTGTCCATATTTTTTTGTTGTTTCTTATTTTGCGAATTGTATATTCGAAATTGAAATCAATTTTTTTTTTTTTGGACAGCATAATTTAAATATAGGTCAATACCGAACTGCATTATTTTTTCTTTGCTATGCACATTTATATACTGCTCAAATTCTTTCATGGAATTTGTATTTAATTATTGTATTTCTTGTTATTATTATTACTACTATTATTAATTATTATTGCTTTTATTTTTATTATTGTGTTTTCCCTTTTTAATATGGATTATAGTGATTATCGATGAAGCGAAAAACTCCGTGAATTTTTTGTTGTTTATTTACTAGTTTCTTTTTCAATATGAATACATTTTTAATGAAATCGACGTAAGTGTCTAAATTCGGGAATCATGTGTGCCGTCCGTGAGCCAATTTAGGAATCCGTAGTGCTTAGGGATCGTCAATTTTTGTAGATGCAGCATGACTATCATGGAAGGGTGGGGTTACTCGAGCCGCTCATTACCACCATTGCGAGCTCATTTTGCAACTATGACTCCTAGCGTAGCAAGCTTCTTCTCTTAATACTTTCTGCCCCCCCCCCCCCCCCATCCTTCTTTTCCTCCCTATAACTGATCGCTTTGATAGAACATCATTTCCCTCCTCCCTCAAAACAGCACGCGATTTTTTAATAAATAAAATAATATACCTTTGTGAGCACGCAGTGTTGCGGTACCCTCAACATAACCCACTCCCACCAGTAGACTAAACTGATGCCGGTATGCCAGCGCGAGGTCGTTTCACACATCTGCCCTACCATCAGCTCACCACAAAGTCTACGTTGTATGCTACAGTTGGGCTTGCATCGAAGGCAGCTATGTAAAACTGCTGAGCAAGACCTACGACTATTTATCACGCAAATCTGTTGCTTTAGCAACCCAACTAACATCTTAAATCGCCACAGCTCTTGCCACAGAGTTTTGGCCGCTGTGACGATGGGGCACAAAAGTCCAAGTTGCTCAGACAAACGAGATAATATATTCCGCTTTGTCGGCTTCAACGAAGTAGAGCTATCCTCATGCAGATGACAACGACATACATCATCTTGAAGAGCCAGCAATTTTTAATGACATTTGAAGCTATAGGGTGAGATCGAGCATAAATATTTGCCAATTCAAACAACGAGCGCACAGCTAAAAATGGCGCTGATGCAGTCCCGTATGTGACAGTGTTCAACTTAAAGGACTGCAGCTCATGAGAGGCGCTTTCTCGCCAAAGAATGAGCTGGTAATTTTTGTCTTTTTCAGACACGTTTATTTGCCTGTACATCTTGGAGATGTCGGCAGTAATTGCGTATTTATTCAACGGAAAATTTACAAGTGTTGAATAACGCTCCCTCTGAATAGTCGGCCCAACCATTAACTTATCGTTTAATGATAGAGCCGTTGACGTTTCACTAGAAGCGTCAAACACCACACGCAATTTGGTTGTGGTGCTTTCAGACCTCAGGACACACTGATGAGGAATATAGTAGAGCTGTCCTGGAGGAGGAGATTCAAGAGCAGACATATGCCCAAGGTCACGATACTCTCTCATGAAGTCATGGAGAGATTTGTCTTGTGTTTTGTATCTGTGCAACAACGAATGGTGTAGTTTTGAACACACCCGACACTTGGAAGCTTCGCAGCTGGAAACTATATGACCCACATTCAAACAATTGAGGCACATTTTTTGAGCTAGCCGTGTAGTAATTACAAGCTTAAACGCTCCACGCAACGCTTAAGATCATTTTGGAAAACTATTCGAGCCAACCATAAAAAGATAGTATCAGCTGTTTTGCTGAATGCAGACAATCGTCTATATACGGAAGTGGAGATTGAAGGGGAAAAATATTTAGCATTACTTGATTCAGGCGCTACAATAAGTTGTATGGGAGGAACTGCATCGATGGCATGGATGGCAAACCACAAAGTTAAAAGATGTTGTGGGAACATTCGTACTGCCAACGGAACGGAAAGCAAAGTGGTAGGAAATTTTCCTGCTAAAGTAACATATCTGCGAAGGACGGGAGAACTCGAATTTTTCATTATCCCTGGGCTAAAACAAAACGTATACTTAGGGATTGATTTTTGGAGCAAATTCGGTCTGTTTAACAAAATAACGACTTCAGTAGAGGTGTCTGAGTTGGATGTAGGGTCCGCCAGTAGCGCAGACGAGTCACTTAAATTACATGTGTTGTCGAAAGAGCAGCAGCAGCGTCTCAATTGAGTAATAGACATTTTTCCTTCATTCGCTAAGGCAGGATTGGGACAAACCAACTTGATTAAGCATTCCATTGATGTAGGACCAGCAGTACCCATAAAACAACGTCATTGGCCAGTTTCGCCAGCGGTAGAAAAGCTCATGTTTGCGGAGGTAGACAACATGTTGTAAAAGGGTGAAAAATATCGACTATGTCTGTATTCCAGAGAAGTAAATAAGGTGACAAGGCGGGACGCCTATCCATTACCACACATAGATGGCATCTTAAGTCGTTTGCCACCAGCAAGCTTTAACACCGGCTTAGACATGAAGCATGCATATTGGCAGATTCCTCTTGATGAACAATCACGCCAATATACTGCCTTCACCGTGGCCAACAGACCTCTTTACCAATATAAAATGATGCCTTTCGGATTGTGTAATGCCGCACAAACCCTCTGTCGCCTTATGGTCAGGTAATACCAGCCCATCTGCGCACAAGAGTCTTTGTATATTTAGACGATTTGTTAATTCTTTCGGACGATTTCGATTCTCATATTGTTTTGCTGCAGGAGATAGCCTTGTATTTACGTAAGGCAAATCTAACTATTAATGTAGAAAAATCCAAGTTCTGTATACGAGAGATCAAATATCTTGGCTTTATCATCGGACAACGACCTATAATGACAGACTCTGATAAAATCAAATTCATCAGAGAGTTCCCAGTTCCTACCAAAGTGAAACAATTGCGTCGGTTCTTAGGTTTGGCCGGATGGTATCGACGGTTCGTCAGACAGAGCTGACAGAGCTGCTAAAGAACAAAAAGTCGCTTAAATGGAGTGCAAATGCTACACAAACATGTGAAGCATTGAATAATTGTTTAACTGTAGCCCCTATATTGATTACACCAGATTTCTCGAAGCAGTTTATTTTGTTATGTGATGCTAGCACATATGGCATTGGGTGTGTGTTGGCGCAGAACCAAAATTGAGTCGAATTACCAATAGCCTACATGTCAGAGAAATTAACAAAAGCTCAGCGTAATTATTCCGTTACCGAGTTGGAATGCTTAGATGTGTTAAAGGGTATTAAAAAATGTCGGGCGTACATAGAAGGTCAAGACTTCGTTGTTATCACTGATCATGCCTCGCTACAATGGTTAATGCGACAAAAAGATTTATCGGGTAGACTAGCTAGATGGTCCATGAAATTACAAGCGTTCACTTTTACCATAACTCACAGGCGCGGGGCAGAAAACGTCGTTGCAGATGCATTATCACGTCAGAATGAACCAGTCGTGGAGCAGTTCGTATCTAACGGTCCTATGGTTGATCTTCAATCTACACACTTTCAATCGGCTGAATATTTGGGCCTAATGGAACGAGTTAAAGTTAATCAAGCCAAACTACCCGAGTTGAAGGTTGTGGATAATTACGTGTATAAAAGAACAGATTTTAGTAATGGCATTTCGTCTCAAGATAGCAGTGCTTGGAAACTGTGGGTCCCTTCTGCGTTAGTCCCTGATATTTTATTTCAAGCGCATGATTCACCAAGCTCAGCCCACTGTGGAATGGTAAAAACGGTAGAGAAACTAAGACGTTATTTGTTTTGGCCTCGAATGGTCATCAAAATACGTGCTTATATATCGGACTGTGTCGTTTGTCGCACCACAAAGAGCCCCAACATAGTCTTAAAACCTCCAATGGGTAAACCGTTAACATCTGATAGACCATTTCAGAAACTTTATTTAGATCTACTAGGTCCGTACCCAAAAACTAAAAATGGC